CCTGTAGTGTTGCAGGTGCACCCCCCTTCACCCCACCCCCACCCTTGATTCCACTCTAATGAGATGCATCTTTGCTCAGACAAGCCAGCATCAGTGCACGGACCAGTGTACGGATCAGTGCCCGGACAAGCCAGCATCAGTGCACGGACCAGTGCACGGACCAGTGTACGGATCAGTGCCCGGACAAGCCAGCATCAGTGCACGGACCAGATCAGTGCCCGGATCAGTGCCTGGACAAGCCAGCATCAGTGCACGGACCAGTGTACGGATCAGTGTACGGATCAGTGCCCGGACAAGCCGGCGTCGTGGAACTAACATCATCCCGCTGACATGGCCGGCCTTCAGCCCCCCTCGCCCGACCCCCACTCACCCACATGACCACCGTCGACCCGGCACCGAGCAGACCTCACTCTGACAAGCCATGGCAGAGAAGCAGACAACGCAGGCCGAGACGGAGCAGACGACGCGTGCGGTGAGCGATGCGTTCTCCCTCAGTGAGTGGGTGGAGGCAAACAAGACGGCCATGCTCCCGCCGGTGGGAGCCGTCAACATGTTCCCGGCTTCGGACTCGTATGTCATCATCTGTGTCTCGGGCCCCAACATCCGTGCCGACTACCACATCAACGAGACAGAGGAGTTTTTCATGCAGCTGACGGGCGATATGGTGCTCAAGGTCATCGACAATGGCGAGTTCAAGGATGTGACCATCAAGCAAGGCGATGTCTTCCTCCTCCCGCCAAACGTGCCGCACTCTCCTCAGAGACCAGCTGGCACCGTCGGTCTCGTCGTCGAACGCAAGCGTGATCCTCACCACATCGATCGCCTCGCCTTCTACTGCGACGACTGCCATGAGCTGCTCTACATGGACGAGTTCCACTGCACGAACCTGCCCAAGCAAATCGAAGCCGTCGTCAACACCTTTTACGCCGACGAGGCTCTCCGGACCTGCCGCCAGTGCGGTGCCATCGCCCAGAAGCCCTCCTTTGACGCTGACGACGCCTAGCCGCCAACGATCCTTCCTCAACACATCTCAACGAGTACACACACACACACGCACACACACGCACTCTCTCACCCGTTAGGGGCTTACAGCTGCGGTAGGACGTAGCCCTCGGAGCCTGCAGACGACACGGATCGGAGCTCGAGTGGCGTCGTTGGACGCATGCCGATCGCCACCGCCTCAATATACTCGTCCTCCTCGTCGCTTGTCGCCACTGCTGATGCCTGCCGTCGCTGCGCCTGCGGGGATGGCTGCATGTACCCAGGCCGCGGCCGTTTGGGCCGCCGATGCTTGCGGGCCGCCACCACCCGTGCCTTGGCGTACACGGGCGTCACAGGCTTGTATGGCTTCTCACGCGACGGCAGCGCGTTGCGCTTGCGGAACGCCTCCATCCGCACCGACGGGTCCGCCATTTTGCGCCGCCGCTGTTTGGCATTCATCAGCCGCTTCATCCGCGACTGCTTCCGTGCCATTGCCGCAATCGTCGCCGGGTTGGTGATGCCCCACTCCGCGGCCATGTCCTGGACCTTAGCCGGTACTGCGCCGCGTGAGCTCCGACGCGGCTCCTCCGGGGATGCCGTCGACGACGAAGTCGTCGTGAGCGTCGACTCAAACGACGTGTTGGTCGCCGCAGAGCTCGGCCGCGCTGTCGTCGGCGACGCTGCTTGTGGCGCAACACCCCCCACAATCCGCTCCCGCGAGCCTGGCGCCCGGTACACCGGTACGTAGCCATCGTCACCGCTTGACTCGCATGACCCTCCGTCGCCAGTCTCCGCGCTGGCGGAAGAGATCAACACTACGCTGCTGCTAGCTTCGCTCCGCCCGCCCGTTGCTGGAGCAGGCGCCGGCGGCGTCGACCACGCCTGTGCAATCGACGCCACTGTCGCCGCATCTAGCTGGACTGCAGGCAGAGAGTCGAGCGAGAGGCCCGAGCTCGGCGCTCCCTGAGTCAACCACTCGGTGTCCAGCTCGTCATCAAACTCGTCAAGATCGTCATCATCCCACAAGCCAGCTCGCGCAGCCTCGCGCGCCCGTGCCAGCCGCAGCCGCATCCGCGCCCCACGCCACACCGCCTGCACCTTGGTTGCCGCCGCCTCCCTTGTCCTTGACCGTGCCCGCCACGCCGTCGGCCCCGGCGCCGTGCTCTTGGTCCGAACTGCATACCCACGCCAGGCCGCCGCAATCACGCTGGCAGCGTGGCTCGCTGCAGCCGCCCGCTTGTCCAGCGATCGCCGCCACCACCGCTGGAGCGTGATCACCGCTTTGGTCTCGGCCCGCTCTCGCACAGCATCCACGTACCCCGCAGGAACTGCAGTCGTGAGTGTAAGCCTGGTGAGCTGGGCAAGCGCCTGAGCCAGGCTCGCCTGCTCGCCCAGCACCTCCAGTCGCGCCTCGTCGCCCAGAAGCACGCGCTCGGCCTCGGGCAGTCCAGCAGCTTGTGGCCCAAACGGCGCGAGTCGAACTCGCCGCGCACCGGCGCTGGCAAGCGCCTCGACCCGGGCCGCCTTGGTGGCGTGGAGCAACCACCACTGAGTAGCCGGCTCCGATGCGCGTGGAGCGCACTGCTGCCCGGTTCGCCAGCACGCCGGTCGGGATGTCCGCAGCGTTGCCGCCAGCCGTGCGCCCCGCTCTCGCAGTACACGGCGATGCCGAGCTGCGCCACCGTCGGTTGCCGCAATTGCCGCGAGTGCCACTGATGCCACGCGCTCAAACGGATTCATATCCAGCTCCGACAGGCACGGCAGCAGCGCAGAGCACACCAGCGGCACCGCGCCGGCTGCCGCTGACCTCGCCAGCGGTGTGTCATGGATTCGCAGCGACGAGAGCAGCGGTGTTGCTCGCAGCATCCGCTCCAGGTCGTCCAAGAGTTCCAGACTCGTGAACGGGAGGTGCAGTGAGTGGAGGAAGGGCAGCATGTGTGGCATGCGCAGCGAGGTCACTTGAGCATTCTCGCCCAGATACAGCTCACGCAGCAGCGGCACTTCCCGGCCATCGACGCACGGCGTCCCACTCAGCGCGTTGCCGTTGACCCATAGCGACGATAGAAGCGGTGTCGCTGCCACTTCCGGAAGCTCCCTCAGCGCATTCTCGTACGCCACGAGCTTGATCAGGTGCGGCGCTCGGGCTAGAATGTTGCCCGGAAGCGTGGCAAGCTCGTTGCGGCCCACGTCGAGTGCGGTCAGTGACGGCAGTCTCGGCAATGCATCAAGCGATGAAAGCCTGTTGCGGTAGGCAGCAAGCTCGACCAGGTTCGGAGACGCCGGCACGTCTGCAAGGCTAAACAGCGAGTTGTTGTTCGCCTCTAGCCGCACTAGACTCTCCAGCCGCCGTACACTCGGTCCGAGGCGGGTCAGCGCGTTAACCGACACGTCCAACCACCGGAGCTTGCGCAGCGGCGCAAGGCCGTCGAGAGCCGCCACCTTGTTGTCGGCAACCTTGACAATGGCGAGTTCGCGATTTGCGCTCAGATCGCCCACCCGCGTCAGCGCGTTGGTGTTGAGATTGAGCGAGACAATAGCTGGAACGTCAGCCAGCGCGTCTGCAAGCGTTGTAATGCCTTCGACCTGCACACTCACCACCTTGACCTCTGTCATCGGCGTGTTCGGTGCGTAATTCATCGCCAGATGGAACGGTGCAAGCGGCGAGCTGTCGTCTTCGTCCACCTGGTCCTCGCCTGCCGACGAGCCAGCTGCTGCCGGTGGCGACGGACGCAGTGGTGCCAGTCGCTCAGCCGCAGCCAGCGCCTCGAGAGGTGCTGTCGCTTCTGCTGCGGGACAGGTTGGGTCCGTCTCCCGCCGACAAGCCAGAAGCACCGGATCAACGTACTCGGACCAGCGCCCACGGGTGATGTCAGCTGCCAGCGTCTGCTGAGCCTGGCGGAGCGCGGCTCTCTGCTCGGCGGCTAGGCGGGCGGCTTTGCGCTCGGCGGCGAGACGGGCGGCTTCGCGCTCGGCGGCAAGGCGGGCGGCTTCGCGCTCGGCGGCGAGACGGGCGGCCTCACGCTCGGCGACGAGACGAGCTTCTTCGGCGGCCATACGCTCAGCCTCGGCCTCGGCCTGAGCAGCGAGCTCGGCGGCACGCAGCCGGGCCTCGGCAGCCTGGCGGCGGGTGTCGCGATCGGCCTCTCGGGCGCGCTCTTCCTCCTCGGCTCGCGCTAGCATCTCCAGCTCGCGCGCTCGGGCAGCAGCCTCAGCGGCTTGTTCTTCCTCGAGCTGCTTGCGGGCCAGCGCCTGCGCGCGGCGTGACTCTTGCAGCTGGGCCTCGATGGCCGCCTGCCTCTTCCGAGCCTCGGCCTCGGCGGCCTCACGCTCTGCAGCCAGCCGCACCTCCAATTCGGCCAAGGCCGCAGCCTCGGCAGCCTTGGCCGCCACAGCCGCAGCTTCAGCTTCAGCTGCCGCCACCTCAGGCGTCGCTGCGCCCGCCTCGACGTCGGCTCCATCGCCTTGCTGCTCTTCCTGCCGCCCGATGCTGTTTCCAGCGGCAAAGTCCATGACATCCCGAAAGTACGCGGCGTCTTCGAGGGCGGTCTGCAACCGGTAGCTCTCCACTTCTGCGGCCGCAGCCTGGGCGTCGACCCTCGCCTCGTACATGGCGTCCAGCTCCTGATCGAGAGCATCGTGTTGCGAGCGAGCGAGGCTGTGGTCGGCATCCGCCTCTTCGCCGGTCCGGGCCAGAACCGCCTCCAGCTGTGCGATAGAGAGCAGGCCCGACTCGGCAGCGAGCCGACCACCCGCAGTTGTGTCGGATGTAGCGGGGTCTTCCGACGCCGACTGGGACGGCGCAAGCGGAGCAGCAGTGAGAGCGGCGGCGGCGGCGGCGATCTCAGCCTCCAACTCGTCGGCCAGGTGGTGGTCCAGGGAAGGCGGCGAGGAGGGTGCAGCAAGGTGCGGGTACAGCTCAGAGTCAGAGTCGGTATCCGAGAGAAGGTACGCATGGCTGGGTGTCGCCGGGAGACTCCACCCGTCCGTCATGGCTCTCTCCGACCCGCCGACAAGTGACCCCCGTCCCACCTGGCTCCTTCTGGCTCGATCATTTTAACAACATTTGCCGCCAAACTGCGGACCACGCATCAAGACAGCAACCGAAGCAAAGTCCCCCCCCCCCTCCGTGCAACCCCCCGCCCGTACCACATACCACATACCACGTAGCACACCACACTCAAGAGCACACAGCCGCAGAGGAGGGTTGGGCATGCACGGGCGAGAACGACCCAACACGGCGTCTGGTGGGCGGCGGAGGCGGGGTAGCGGGGCTACGGGTGGGGCTAGGCTTGGCAGGGGTGGTGGCGGTGGTGAGGGTGGCGGCGGCGGGGATAGCCGAGCGGAAGAGGTGATGGAGGACGGTGGGAGCTCGCCTGGGCGACGGAGGCGGAGGCCGGTGTCAGCAGGTGGGTCACGGGCCCCGAGGCGCTGGGACGATGATGGTGCGGGCCGCATGGAGGAGCTGGTGCGGAGTTCGTACACTCCGAGTCGGTCGGCCGTGTCGGTGTCAAGGCTCTCGGCGAGGCTGGCTGACTTGCAGCTCTCGGCATCGCCGGCTAAAGGCCGCCCGAGCACAGCTGGATCGAGCAGGAGTAGCAGGCGGCGCGGTGGCCGAGATGGACCGGATGATGGCAGGCCGTGTGCGACGTCGCAGGCGCTCGGAGAGGCGCTGGTGGTCAAGCTGCAGCTGGAGGCTGCGCAGCGAGCGCGCGAGCTGCGTTCGTTGGCAGACTCGTCGTCGTCCGCCAAGATGGCTCGGGCACGCAAAGGCCTGGCCAAGGCTCGTAGCCGATTGGAGCGCGACGCGCACGAAGCACGGGCCATGGTCGAGGCGCTAGGCTCGCTGGCGCGGTCGATGGATCGGGCGCGGGCGTCGCTCGACGACGCGCTGCGGATCTGGGCCGACGGCTGGCAGCACGACTACGCGCAGCTGGAAGAGAACATGCTGGATGTAGACGACTCGATTGGTGTGGCGCTCGAGGCTGCGCAGCAGAACGTCGACGAGCTGCTGAGTGACGAGGCCGACGCGGCGCGGCGGCTAGCCGACGAACTCGAAGACGTGGCGCTTGAGGGCGAGGTGCTGAAAGACCACGTCGCGAGCCATGGGATGACCAGCGCGTTCATGGACGAGTTTCACGACTACGAGCAAGTGGTGCAGGGGCAGGTTGCGACGGCGCAGCCGCGGATGTCGCAGCTGGAGGCGAGACTGGCACAGGCGCGGTCTCCGGCAGCCTTTCGCGTCGGCCCGCAGCTTGCGGCTTTGAGATCGCTGATGACCTCACTCCGCGAGGAGACCCGCAATGCCCGTCGCGTCGCCGCGTATTTGCGCAAGGGCGCCGGCCCGGGCGCGGCCATCATGTCCAAGCTTGTGGGGCGGACTAGGCGCGCCAAGGCATCCCTGGACGCCGAGCGCCGCGAGCGGCAGGACGCTCGCCGGCGGATGCAGTCGCGACTCTCCTCACGCGACACTGTGTCCAAACGCGAGTACGAGGCGCTGGAGAAGCAGTACTTTGCACTGGAGGAGGTGCTCGACCGCGAGCGCAAGGCCACGCGGGTCTGCGACCGCTGCCGCACCTGGGAAGACAAGGTCCGCGAGCTGCGGTTCGAGCTTGCCAAGGTGAAGCGGAAGCAGCGCGATAGCGAGACGCTCGAGCGCTACTCATCCATGCCTTTCAACGCCACGACCTCTCGTGGCTCGTTCGGAAGCTCCGTTGGCCGGTTGGCGCGGTCGAGCAGCGTCGTCGGCTCCCCACGCTCGGGCTCGGTCTGCTCCTCTGCGCCACAGTCGCCTTCGAGTCCAAAGTTCCCGCGACACTTGCGTGGCTCAATGTCGGGATCGGGCACCATTCCAGAGGTCGTAACGTCGGGCGCGAGCTCATCAGACTCGAGCTCATCGGGCACGACGTCATCGTCGGGCACGTACATGTACGTGTACGAGGACGAAGTCGAGTTGTACATCAATGGTGCCAATGCAGGGGGAGGCGCAGACGCCGGTGCCAGCGACAGGCACGCGCTCGGCGGATCGGCTGCACCAGCCGGCGGGAGCGGGATGCGCCGGTCGCGCGAGCGGCGACCCAAACCAGGTCGCGGCAAGTCGGTTCGTTATGGCGGGGTCGAGGTCAAGGAGATCTCGCCCGAGCCTGGGGACGAAGACAAACCACGCTCGCTTACCGCCGTCACCAACCACGGAGCCTCCGCCGTCCGCGCCATTGCGCTCAGCGAAGTAGCCATCGACGACGGACGGCCGCTGGCGTCTGCGTCGGCCGACGGCTCGATCAAGGTTACCATGCTCAATGCCAACGGGCGTGCGCGCGAGTGGTTGGATGTGTCGCGGGCTGACGCCAGTAGCGATGGCTCTGTCGCTGTCCTCGAGTTTCACCCCAAGGGCATGCTGCTGGCTGCTGCCGGGCGGGAGCGCACCGGCTCGAAGCAGGTCGGCCTCGCCCGCATCTTCAACTGGGGTGCCGGACGAGTGCTCAAGAGCATCCAGACGACGGCGCCGGTGACGGCCTTGCGCTTTGCTAGAGACGGGAAGCAGCTGGTGCTTGGCATGCGCGGAACGGTTGAGATCTACGACGTGCGGACCGCGAGCCTCGTTCGCAAGATTGCCATCGGTGCGCAGTCGGGCGTTCGTGAGACGGTGACTCACATGGCGTTTGGCGTCGAAGACCACCTGCTCCTTGTCGGTGGTTCGTTTGGCAAGGTGCGGGTGTACGACTTGCGCTCGTCGGAGCAGCTGACTTGCTTCCAGGAACACGTCGCGCCGCTCGTCGCCATCTTTGCGCCGCCGCTGCCGGCAAAAGGATCGTCTCACTTTACCGTCCACTCGCTGGACAAGCGCGAGTCGGTGCTCTCCGTCGATGCGCTCGGCGTAGCGCGGGTGTGGGACACGGTGACCAATAGCTCGATCACCGAGTGGAATGTGGGGTCGGGAGTCATGGCGGTCGCCCTGGCGATGGAGGAGGCGGTCCTTGCCGTTGCACACTCGGACGGCTCGCTCGCTGTCCTCAACCTCACCGCTAACAGCCTCGGATACTCGTCCGAGTCGTTGCCGGCGACCCAGGTCTCTGCCGACGCCCTCACTTCCATCGCATACGGGCCCAACATGGGCATTCTCGCCGTCGGCTGCTCCGACGGCAAGGTTCTTGTCGGCCCGATTCCGGCTAAAGAGTAGGCTTGTGCTTGTTCGCCTTCCCGCGCAGCGTTTCGTGTAGCAGCGGTAGCAGCAGCGGCAGCGACTGCATGCGGCAGTGCTAGGAGGCGGTGATGGCAATGGGCTCCGACTCGGCCAGCCGCGCGCCGTCGGGTCCATGGAAGCGGAAGACGTACGAGCCAGGCTCATCCGGCAGGAGATCGCCGTCAAAGTTAAATAGGCCGACCAGCGCGGCACCCGCGTCCAACTCGCGGCGCCAGCGGCCTGCACGGCCCGTGTCGTCCGGCGCATCGGCGGGGTACAGGCCGATCCAGTCGCCGGCTTTGATGCGCGGAGCGGTCCAGAAGACCGAGACCGGCGCCCCGACCTTGGCCGCCGGCACGGCCGTCAGCGAGAACTCCTCATCACCCTCGCCCTCGACCAACGTAGCGCCGTGCGCCACAGGCTCGCCTCCGCTGCTGTCGCCTCTGCTGCCACCATCGCCACCATCGCCGCCTCCGCCTCCACCACCGCCACCGCCGTCTTGGTCGCTGGCCTTGCGCACGGGCCGCCGCCCGGGACCGCCTCCTTCCGAAGCCTCGCCCATAGCCCGTGAGCTTCCACAGCCCATGCGTGTGTGGGTGGGTGGGTAGGTGGGTGAGGTGGGTGTGCCAAGGGAGGTGCAGGGGGGCGGGACAGGGGGGGGGGGAGGGGGAGGGTTGGCCTCTGGCCGAACGCTTGCAGGCAGTCGGTGGCTGGTGAGCAGCCGACTGGTGTCAGGGCGGACTGCGGTGCGGTGACGGACGATGATGAGCGGATGGACGGCGCAAGTTGGATGGGCGGAGAGTGATGGGTAGGGTAGGGTTTACGACTCGCCAAGGTCGGCGACGTCATGCTCAACGGCAACAAAGGTCTCGGGAGCGACAACACGGCCGGCGTGGCACATGACCGGTATGCTCTGCGACTCGCCAAGGGCCGAGTCGGGGGTGGGCACGGTGGCGGTGCCGCGTCCCTCGCGGCGATTGCGGAAAAAGGTGCCCTCATAGACAAAGCCGCCGGCAAGGACCGACTTGCCGGCACCCTCGCGGACGCCTTTGGACCAGTTGCCTGAGTAGGTGCCCCAGAGGAAGGCCTTGGTGCCCTCGCCCGACCTCCGGCCGCCTTCCCAGTTGCCCGAGTACTTTGCGTCGTTCTCGACGCCGACCTCGACGCCAAACCCATCGCGGACATCGGCCTTCCAGTAGCCGTCGTAGCGGCGACCGGAGGGAAGGATCTCGCGGCCGCGGCCCTCGCGAACGTCAGAAGCCCACTGGCCAACGTACTTGTGGCCCCAGGGTGTCTCCCAGGTGCCCTTGCCGGAGCGCTTGCCGGAGATCCAGCCGCCAGAGTAGGTGGAGCCGTCGGGATAGAGCACAGAGCCGGTGCCGTGCGGGCGGCCGGCGAGCCACTCGCCGTCATACTCGTAGCCCCAGGGGGTGACGAGACGCCCACTGCCGCTCTGAAGACCGTGCTCGAATGAACCGGTGTAGACCGAGCCGTCGTCATTGACAAGCGTGCCCGAGCCATGGTAGGCGCCGGCCACCCACTCGCCATCGTAGGCAAGCTTGCGGCTCGACGAGTGCGAGAGAACGCCATTGCCCCACGGCTTGCCGTTGCGGAACTCGCCGATGTACGTCCTTGTACCGCCGCAGGTGACAAGCGTGCCGGAGCCGTGCGGCTCGCCGGCCAGCCACTCGCCCTCGTACGTCGAGCCGTCGTCAAAGACGGCTGAGCCTGTGCCCGACCGCTGGTCACGGAGCCACGAGCCCGAGTAGCGGAGCGGCGAGACCGACGAAGAGAGTGTGCCAACGCCGGAGCGGAGACCGTCACGGAACTCGCCGGTGTAGGTGATGGAGCCGTAGACGAGGGTGCCCGAGCCAGAGCGCATGCCTGCGCGCCACTCACCCGAGTACGAGATGTCCTTAAAGGTGTAGACACCGGTGCCGTGCGGCTGGTTGGCGCGCCACTCGCCGTCGTAGACGGCGCCCGATGCCCAGCGGAAGACGCCTGAGCCTTCGCGCTGATCTTCAACAAACGAGCCGACGTAGTGGTCTTTGGAGGGGAAGAAAATGTGGCCACGGCCGTGGCGCGAACCATAGCGAAGCGTGCCGTCGTAGAGCGAGCCGTCGTCGTAGTAGTAGGTGGCGCGACGAAGCGAGCCGTCGGCGACGTCAGCAGCATCGGCGGCATCTGCAGCGTCGGCACCGGGTGCGCTCACAATGAGTGCGTCGAGCTTGTCGCGCGCCATGTGGGCTTCGATCGTCTTGGCCACCGTCCGCATCCACGAATGCTTGGCCGATGACGAGCCGGCGTAGAGAAAGTAGGAGCGCGACGGAGTGTAGACCTCAAAGGCATCGTTGTTGATGGTCGACGGATCGAGGTCGTGCAAGTCCTCGACCCAGGTTGTTTCCAACGAGGTTTCCAGCTCTGCGGTGAAGAGCGCGCCGGCGCGAGCGGCCGAGGCCGACACTTTCTCGCCGACCACAAACATGTCGTTGAAGAGGACACCCCAGAGCGAGCGGCCGGGCGTACGCAAGCTGCACGGCGCCTCCCAGATGATGCGACGGGTGGGCTCGGAGAGGTACATGTCAAGGCCGGCCGAGCCGGCTTGGGACGCCGTGCTCGCCTTCTTGCGCTTCGAGCCCGCGGCGTCCTGAGCGGCGGCGAGGAGAGCGTTGACTTTGGCGTTGGCTTCGGCAATGGCGTTGGCGGCAGTGCTGAGCGCGTGGGCGTCCTTGTGGCTCGACTTGGTCTTGGACGAGATCTCGACCAGGAGCAGCTCGTAGCGCGGTAGGCGCTGGATGGGCTGGATAAGATAGAAAAACAGGTCGCGCCCGCCGTGCGACTGGACGCGCTGGAGAAAGTACGAGGCAAACTGCTCGTTCGAGGCGCGAAGTCGTGCGCACACATCACGCGCACCACCAAAGACCTCGCAGAACGGCAGATAGTACTCGGAGAAGAGAGGAATGATGTCGAGGAAGATAGAGCCGACCATGGTGGCCGACGGCGAGTAGCTGGTGATGGCGACCTCGAGCGCGTCGACGAGCGAGCCGTGCAGGTCGTGAATGAGCTCGAGAGAGCCAAAGAGCGCCGAGAGCTCCTCGCGGGTGATAATGCCAAGGCCCCGCAGCGGCTGAATGTACTCGTGAACAAGAAGCGCGAGCGAGTTGTAGTAGGTGATCTCGGTGGTGTACAGCTCGTAAACGAGGCGGTCGCGCTTGGTCGGCTCGCCGGTTAGCGGCAACTCGACCGGGTTCCGTTGCGGCGCCGAGTCAACAGTGAAGAACGAGTCGTCGATGATCGCAGAAGTTGGTGCCGAGTCGACGATGGCCATGGACATGCGGATGGTGTCGCGTGGCGACGAGTCTGTCGAGGACGGCAGAGGCGACTTCTTTTGAAGATCGGGCGGGAGCGTGGGCAGCTGGCGGCGGCGTTTGGCCGGCTCGGGCTCGGGCTGGGGCTGAGGCGCAAGAGGCGGCAGAGGCTTTGCCGGCGGAGCGCGGGGCTTGGGCGGCGGAGAGGAGGGAGGAGGTTTGGGATCAGGGCTTGCGAAGGCCTTGGGTTCGGGTGTAAGTCCAGGCTCGGGCTCGGTGCAGGCTCGGGTGCAGGATCGAGTGCAGGCTCAGGCTCGAGTGCAGGCTCAGGCTCAGGCTCGGGCTCGGGTGCAGGCTCGGGTGCAGGCCCGAGTGCAGGCTCAGGCTCGGGCTCTGGTGCAGACTCAGGCTCGGCCACAGGAGCAGGCTCAGGCTCGGCCACAGGAGCAGGCTCAGGCTCGGCCACAGGAGCAGGCTCAGGCTCGGCCACAGGAGCAGGCTCAGGCTCGGCCACAGGAGCAGGCTCAGGCTCGGCCACAGGAGAAGGCTCAGGCTCGGCCACAGGAGCAGGCTCAGGCTCGGCCACAGGAGCAGGCTCAGGCTCGGCCACAGGAGCAAGCTCAGGCTCGGCCACAGGAGCAGGCTCAGGCTCGGCCACAGGAGCAGGCTCAAGATCGGAGTCGACAAGAGCAAGCAGGAGGGTGGACCATTCCTCGCGCTGCTTCTTGGGCAGCGCAAGGAGGATGGAGGCCGAGGCATCATGCGGGGCGAGAAGAACCAGATCTTGGCGCGGAGTCTCGTCGGTGAGCCACTCATCAGGCACGGTGTCGGGCTCTGGGCCGATGATCATGCGTGCAGCGTGCGGGAGGACGAGGTCGACCGAGGCCGTGGCCACCACCGCCGACTTGAATAGGAGCAAGCGGACGCCAGCACGGGGCAGGCGAGCCAGGAACTGCGCGGTGTCGGCCTTGTCTTTGCCGCCTTTGCCAGCCTCGTCCCCGCCACCCTGGGCAGGTCGCCCGTCGGCGGTGATAGCCACCGCATACCGACGACGCCACCCGCCCTTGCCTGGGTCATACAGAGAGAGCTTGCCCGAGACCACCACCGCTGCCGCCTGCTCTCCATGCACAAGTCCACGGAAACTGCTTGCTGGAGGCGTCTCACTCATAGGCCTGTTCCTCCGCCTCGTCCCACGTGCCGTCTGCCGTCTTCCCCCTCCTGCTTGCCCTGCCGCCTCGCCTGCCGACCATTCGGCCGACCGAGTCGCTCGCCGCCACTGACGGCCGCCGAGGCCATCCTTCGGTCCTTTGTGACTGCTCCGCCGCCTGACGTCATACAGCGCCACACCGCACTCTCTCGCGCCTGGGCTATCCATCGCTCGTGTATAGGTCATGGAAGAGCCTGCGGTGGTGCGTAAGGACGCACAGTCGCAAGGAACGCTGAGTCTGGGCAACGTCACCGCCAGTGTTCCGGCCGGCGAGGATGGGGACATTGGCCGCAGCACGCACGCTGGCCTCGCGCCCACAAGCCAGGATCCTGATCAGGTCCCCGCAGACGGGGATGGGCTTGGGCCTGCAGGCCGGGATCCTGATCAAGTGCCTGCAGATGCTGAACCGCACGCAGGACCTGCTCCCGAACACGTGCCCGCAGATGCAGGCTCATCGACGTCGACAGCATCTTCGGCCTCCACAAGCGCCAATGGTAACGGCGTCACAGGTGATGGATCAGAGAGCGAGGCACGCAAGCGCAAGCGCGAGGCGCCGGCACACACCTGCGAGGCATGCGGCGGTGAAGGCATCTATACCTGCCCGCGATGCATGGTGCGATCATGCTCGGTGGCGTGCGTCAAGCGCCACAAGGCCGAGTCCGGGTGCTCGGGCAAGCGCGATCGAACCAAGTTTGTCCCGCGATCCGCCATGAGCGACGCGCTGGTGGTCAACGACTATTTACTGCTGGAGGACGCGCTGCGTTCGCTCGATGCTGCGCAGCGGTCGCGCAACCAGATGGTGGTGGCCGGCGAGCTCGGGACACGCGGCATGCGCCCGACTGCAGGCCCGCGCAAGGGCCGCGCCGCCCTCATGCGCGAAGCCAAGCGCCGCGGCATTTCCCTGCACTTTATGCCCGACGCCTCATCACGCCGCATCGCCAACCGCTCCCATTACCGCAACAAGGACAAGCACATCCACTGGTTCGTCGAGTGGCGGCACGACGGCCAAGTCGTCGACGCCTCGTTGGTCGAGGAGACCGCACTCGTCGGCGATGTGGTCCGTCCGCTCCTCCAGCGCCACGGTGTGGCACAGGCGAGCCTGCCACGCGTCCGCGCATGGCTCCGCAAGGCCCGTGTGCCAGCCAATGCTCCCGAGGCGGACAAGCGCATCGCCGTCCGCCTCGACGCCTCGCTTGCAGAATGCCTTGCCGGCCAGGAGATCATCGAGTTTCCGGTCTTCGACCTTGATCTTGCCCCTCCTCCTATGACGTAAATCTCGTGCACACGCTGGACACAACCCTGTTCGCGCTCATGTCTGGCTCTTGCGCCCGCGCACGTCGGCGAGCACGGCGCGACGGTCACCCGGTTCCGCCGCCAATATCCGAGCCAGATCCGGCCACACCAGCTTCCTTGCCGGCGAGTTTGGGGCCATCTCGGCGCCGCGTGCGGCCAGAAACTCGGCGGCATCGATGTGGCCCGCAAAGATCGCGCACTCTAGCGGCGTCGAGCCCTGGAATGGAAGCACCGGGTCGCGGCGCCGGGCGTTGACGTCGGCGCACTTGCGGACCAGCAGCTTGACCAGCGTCTGACGCTCGACAAGTGTGGCCCGCGGCAGCAGCGCCGCGATCAGCGGAATGTGTGCCGAGCTATGTGAGCCGCCTCCAACGTCCGCACCGTGCGACAAGAGCGTCCCGGCCAGGAGGTGCGAGCCGGCCCGGCAAGCAACCACCAGCGGTGTCGCGCCGGTCTCGTCGGCCGCGTCGACCTCGGCGCCTGCGGCCAACAGCTCCTCCGCCACCGCCGCATACTTCTTGTGCTGCCGTGCCGTCGTATAGTTGCAGCTTGCGGCATCGTGGAGCGCCGTGAGGCCAAAGCTCGCAGCGCGACAGACGTCGGCCCCGCCGGCCACCAGCACCCGCACCAGCTCCACGCTGCCGTGCAGGGCAGCCAGCTGCAGCGGCAGCCGCAGCGGCCCGTCGTCACCGGTCCGCCCATCGCCGTCATCGTCAGCAACCAGGCCATTCGCACCCGCGCCCGCTTTCAGCAGCGCTGTCACAATCTCGACCGCAGGCGCCTCGATCCCTTCGAGCACCGCCAGCAGCGCTGCCGTCGCCGCCTGCGGCTCGACGCCCGATCCCGCACCACCCAGCCATGTCAACATCTCCGCCCGGGCCCCAGCATCGGCTGGATCGGCGGAGACCCGGGTGAGGAGAGTCTCCCACCCGGCCGCTGCGGCCTCGTCCATTGATGACAGCGAGGGCGCGTCCAACAAAGTAACGCGAGCTGGTCGCGAGTGAGGTGGTGCGCAGTTCGCGATAGTCAAGCGGGATGCGGCGGATCAAACTCGACCTTTTGACACATAACTCGACCACATGGCGGACAAAAGCGTTTCACGGGAGGAACCCTGCATCCCGCTCGCTCCCTCTCAATGACCGCCTCCGGACGAGCAACCGTGCAAGTCTTGCGACAAAGTACCCTGTGCCAAACGCAACGCACACAGGATGCTTTTCGTGGGCTGGTCACCCTTGAAACAGCCCACCACCCTGTCGTCTGCCTTCTACCCAATCCCGAACCAATCGAGTGCGCGTTGTTGACATGTAACGTTTGTACTAATTGGCTGTCGCAACGACCCAGTCGTTTTGCGGCAGAACGGGATACGGCCGGCTCGACCCCCACGCCATTCAACACACCTCTACCCACATTGCCGAATCCCCCCTCCCTGCGTTACCAATCCCTCACCACCTCTACGCACTCATTGGGCAGACAAAGAAGTTCTCCCGTATTCACATCCTTCCCTCCCGGCCATGTGGACGGCCACGGGCATCCTTTTCGTTTGCAATGAGAGCCGCCCTGAGCAATGGTACGTGGCTGATGTTGACATATTGTGACCAGACAAACCGTGCAGGAAACGTTTTTCTGTTGCGCGAACCCCAACACAACCCTTGCGCCCTCTTGCACAACCACCACTCACACCCTCGCCCTAAACCCAGGCTCTCGCACACTGCATACGTCCGCGGACACATTCTCACTCTTCAGCCTTTATACTTGATCGGCGCCAGCAGCAAGTCCAAGAGCATCGTACTCGACCTCCGCACCGTCGATTTGGCCGAGGTCGAACTGGCTGAGACTGACCACGCGTTGTTTGGGGAGACAGGCGTCGAGCTGCGGTCGAGGGTGGACGGCGTGGCAGAGAACCCGATTCTGCTCGGCGTCCGCCAGCCCGGTCTGAATGATTTGGCTCGATGGATGTCGGTTTTTCGTCAAGCGGCTGTCCGCCACATCAGAATCACACTCGCAAGCGAGCTGGACGGCACCGTGGCGTCTGTCGCGCCGGCTCCTCTCATTGCCGAGCCGGAGCCATCTTCGACCTGGGCTCTCCTGCCGCCGCATAGCCCCTCTGCTGACTGGCGCGCGGTGTCAACAACCGAAGACCATACTGACGACTGTGCCTGGTACCGCCGCTACTTTGCCAACCAGGCTCACGCCAACTTTGTCGCGGCGCTGTCGCCACGGCAGGGTGGTGCAGTCGTGGTCTCGCTCAAGCGCGAGGCGACCAAGGTCAAGAATGGATTTGGCGTCATCCGAGCCATTCTCTGGAGCCTGGGTGTGGTGCATCCATTTGTCATCGCCGCCCCTGACTCGTTCCGCTCCTTCCGGCGCGATCTGCAGACGGTGCTGAGCCGACGCGATCCGCACAACCTCGGTCCGAAATGGCGCCGCTTCAAGTGCGTGGTGGGAGCCGGCCTTGTCCGCCGCCTCCTTGCCATCGAGCGGACGCTGAGTGAGGACGCGTGCCGCGTCGGGCTGATGTATGCCGCTGACGGCGACGTGGTGGATCCGCCGCCGCTGGGCCACGACCCAGTCTTCGACGATCTGGCCGATGCCCTTGCGGAGTACGGCATTGCCATCATCAGACCGGATACCGCGAGTGCCATGCTCGCCGTCATCGTCTTGGTCTCGGACGGCTGCGAGATCTCCGTCGACGTGCTCAAGCATTCGTTTGTGACTTGCTGTCTCGCCGTCTCCCCCGACGGTCTCAACACGTATCAGCTGACCTTGGCGGCCAAGAAAGGCTGCCTTTCAGGCACCGGAGCTGTCGTAGGCTCGCATCTCGAAGGCTCGCCGAGCGTGGCTGCCGCTGCGCTCCTGGCTGCGGCGTCGAACGCGGCGCGCATGTGCGTCCGCTGCAGTCAAGCTGACAACTTCATCTCGCGAGCTACGCGGACTCGCGACCTTCTTCTTGATGCCGCTGTCCTTGCTGTCAACGAGGGCCGTGTAGGCTTTGAAGTTGGTCCTGTCTGCGGCCTCTCTGTCCATGGAACTGATGCCACCGATCGACCGCCGCTTGTGCTGCCTAAGCGCGATGTCCTCACCGCGCTCCCACTCGACATGGTCTCGGAGGGCCAAGTCCTCGCTTGGGGCATGTGGCAGAATCAGATCATCTACTCGGACGTCTCCGGCATTCATCTGGCAGGAGGCGGGCATGATTCTGGGGCAACCATCACCACGGCTGCAGCGTCAATGATCCACGTTGTCGAGTGCCTCAACGTGGCCGTCATCAAGTTCAAGGACCTCGCTCTTGGCGTGGGCTTTGTCTTTCTTGACTCGATCGGCCTGTGGCTTGTCCACTCCGTCCCACAAACTGCGCACTCAACCTCGGTTGTCGTCTCGCACTCGAACCAGGCCAACCACCCTGTCTTCCTCTCTGTGGTTAGCGAGACACAGCTCCGGATCTTCAAGTGGATTGACAACAGGTTCTCACGTGCGGCCCGACGGGACTTGGGCACCGCAGCTCGTCTCAGTGCCATCGACAGGTCACATATTGCCGTCACACTCCCGACCGCCGTTTTTGAGGTCGGTCTCGGTCCGTCCTACACCCTTCGCACCATCGCCACCTCCGACTACCCCAACGGTGACATGGCCGTTCTTGCGATCTCTCGCTCGCGGATCCTCGTCCTCGACGGCTTGGTCAGCGTCATGGCCGACCGCGAGGCACTCGATCGCTCCCAACCGACTGTCATGGTCCACTGGGTCGGCACGCCGCAGCAAGTCGTGGAGCTTGGACCTTACCTTGTTGGCGCAAGCGTGGCCGGCCTCGAGATCCGCAGCTCAAGCAACGGCGCACTTGTGCAGGTCATGAATATGCCACGCCCTGTCTCTATCCTCTGGCACGACACGAGCGGGTTGGTGGTCTCGGCAGGCGGGGCCTTTACCACATCGTTGCCGCGCCCGACAATGTCGGGGCCGAGCCCGAGTCGGATCTCGTCGACCTGATCGAGTGCGATGTCCACACCAGGGCAGAGTCGGCGCTCATGCACCAGCTGCGATGCAACCGCCCAGTGATAGCGCCAGCCCCAGTCTCAAGGCGCTCGATCTCATCGCTTGGGAGCGAGAGCAGCGAGCTCGGGATGTCGACGTCGAGTAGCTCGGGCGACAGCGACATTTGCCTCTCGGTGGTCGTCGACAAGCCTTCCGATTTTGGATGGACGCCGGATACGCTTTCCGTTCCGCTGGTCACGCCGCCGATGGTGACAAGCCTCTTCCTTCAACCGTCGCCGCGGGCGGCGGCGGCGTCATCACAGCCGACCACGCCATTGTTTGTTTTGGCACGTGTTGCGCCCAGATCCGAAGTCTCATCGGGCTCGGAAGAGTCCGAGATGAGCTTTCCTTCCGACTCGTCGGTCGGCTCAGTCGACGCCAATATCAACTTGCCGACAATGTCTCATCCAGCAGGACTCCAGGTGGCGTTGCACAACCTTGCCGCCATTGGAGATAGCCTTGCGCCATCTAAGAACCGTCGGGTGCGCATGGCTCGGAGCACTGTCGACGCACCTGAGCTCTGCGATCCGTCCCATCGGCTGTGGGGTCTGGTCAGGCCGGTTGAGCCCGCAATCGACATCAACCGGGAGTCTTTAGACTTTGCCATGAGCCTCGCCAGCGGTCTCGGCATCGAGTGGTCGTCCGACTCGGACAGCTCGTCGTCGTCGGACCGGTTCTACGAAGGCGACTCGTCGTCATCGTCGTCCAATTCAAGCTCAGAGGCGTCGCCTTCTTCATCAATGTCGTCATCGTCGTCCACGACAGCCGGTCTGGTCTCGCCGTTGAACGGTTTGCGGCTGGCAGGCGGTGGCCTTTCGCCGTGCCACTCCAGGTCGACATCGACATCGACGACTATATCCGGCCTTCATGCGTTTTCCTCCAGCAGTTCGTCGTCATCGGCACTCTCCCCCACCGTCATCCGTGTCCAACCGTCGCCGCCCCCGTCGTCGACATGGCACGAGAGCGGATTCCTCTTTGGGTAGCGAGCGAGGACTGTCAGTAGTTAAAGGAGACACGTTACGATCAGCACGCGACGCGATGTGGTCGCCGGTTACTCCAGGCGCATGCTGAGGTCAGCGCGGCGGGAGGTACCGAGGCGGGCAAGGCCGATACCACCCTTGAACGACGCGTCCACTCACCGATCTGATCTCTATCTCCCGTCTCGAGCGCAACTGGCTGTACCGATTCACCGCCTTCCTTCCGCCCGTCGCTTGCTCCGGGACAGCCGGTGGTTGGTACGCCGAAACGAGAGAAGGCGCTCTTCCTTCCATCGCCACACCGAGTTTGGGAGACGGACCGGACGACTGTCGGCTTGCCAGCGAGAACGTTGACGATGGCGAGGAAGAAGGTGAGAGCGGTGCGCATTGAAAGCCGCTCCGCCGATGCGGGGTTGGGCTGGTTGGCCGACCCGTTGCGTAGCAGCATACGGTCGAGCTCGGTCACAGTCATGGCGATGATGAAGCCAGAGACGGTCCACTTGCACGCTCTCATCTCGGTCAGCTACACCCGACTGTACAGAGCGTAGCACAGAGGGAAACATGGACGGTAAGGGCTCCGTGTGCTCCGGCGACGTGGGCTCCGGCGGCATGGGCTCCGCCAGCATGCTCGCCTCCGTCTTTGCCCGTCTTGCCCGTGGCGAGGTTGAGCCAGGTCCGCTCGTCGACGTGGCGCCTGCGACGGAGCAGGGGGCGGGGACGGGGGTGGAGACGGGGGAGAAGGCGGTGGATGTGGGCGAGGTTGGTGGCGCCAGGAGTGCGCCCAGCACACGCAAGACGCGGAGTGTCCGTAGGCAGCACTGGTCGGTGCCCATGCATCCGCCAGGGGTGGTGCGGGTTGTGCCGGCGGCGCTGTGTCCACGGCCGGCTGCAGCAGACTCGCCGCAGGCCGCAGATGCATCACAGGCCGCAGACGCATCACAGGCCGCGGATGCATCACAGGCCGCAGATGCACCACAGGTCGCAGACACACCACAGGCTGTTGTCGCGCCGCAGGTTCCGCAGGTGCCGCAGACGGACGAGGGTGAGGTTGACTCGCCGCGATCGTCGCGGCCAGTCAAGATCACGCTGCACGAGCTGCCGCCCGAGGCGTTGCCGTCTGCGCTGCTAGACATGAGCAAGGCGCGGAACCAGAAGTTTGACGCGCTGCTCTCTGCGCCGATCATCGATCTGGAGGCTCTGCGTGCGCTGGCTTGGTCTGGTGTGCCCGCGGTGCTGCGGCCGCAGGTCTGGGCTCTGCTGCTGGGGTACGCGCCGTCGCGGGCCGACCGGCGGGTTGGGGTGCTGGCGCGAAAGCGGCGCGAGTATGTGGATGCAGCAAACACGCTTCTGGAGGCACCGTTTGGGTCTGTGGAGGACGCGATCATGACGCAGATCCGAAAGGACCTGCCGCGAACGGAGCAGTCGCTGGCCATATTCCGTGCTGAGCGGATCCAGTCGGCGCTCGAGCGTATCCTCTTTACGTGGGCGGTCCGCAACCCGGCGTCTGGGTATGTGCAGGGCATGAACGACCTGGCGGCAACACTCTTTGTCACCTTTCTTGTCCCGCAGCTCGCGATTGCGGTCAACGACCCGCACCATCAGACGGCACTTCTTCTGCAGCTGGAAGACTTGTCGGAGTTGAACGAGGCGCAACTGGCGCTGGTTGAGGCCGACTCGTACTGGTGCTTCTCCAAGATGCTCGACTCTATCCACGACAACTTTATCGTCAACCTTCCGGGCATCTACCGCAACCTGGACAAGCTCGAGCGGCTGCTGGGGGCGATGAACCCAAGGCTCGCGTCCCACTTGGCCGAGTCGGGCATCTCCATGATGCTGTTTGCCTTTCGGTGGATGACCTGCTTTCTTGTTCGCGAGTTCCCGCTCCCGCTCGCAGTCCGTTTGTGGGACACGTACGTGGCCGAATCGGCCTTTAACGACTTTCACGTATATGTCTGCGGCGCGCTCCTCTTGCACTTTGTCGATGACCTGCTCGAGGCCTCAGCCGAAGAGCTCATCATGTTCCTGCAGGATCTGCCGACGGCCACCTGGACCGAGACTGACATCGAGGAATTGCTCTCCAAGGCCTACGTGGCGCACAGTCTGTATGCATCCAAGGTCGGGCCATGACCGCACCCGTGGCCATGGGCGAGGACCAGTACCCGTGCAAGATCAAACTCTGGAGGGTGCCGAAGTGGAAGGAGTGCGCGGCGACAGAGTGGCGGCGAGCGGGTGGGTGAGGGGAGGCGGGGGGG